ATATTGCACCATGCACCATCTACCCCCCCAACACCACTGACCGACGTTGTTGGTTGTTCCGTTTTGTCGATGTTTTGTTGTGAATATTGACCATCTACCCCCCACTTTTTCGGATCGAACAACACCAACACCTGCGTTGATGGTCGTTTCGTTTTGTGCCGATGTACTTGTTTTCGCCTAATGTACGTGTCCCAATTGTTCAGAGATGGCGTGCAAGGCCGTGGAGTACGCCGAGCAGGACCTGACCGGCGTGCTGAACGGGCTGTCCGCGCTCTCCCTCGCCACGGGGCCCCACCGCAGGCGGGACCGGCAGGCGGCGGCGCCGGCGCACTTGCTCGTCGTGGACGGCAACATGAGGGAGGATGCCCTCGTCGACCTTGCTCGCTCGGTGGACGAGGTGTGTTCTGTTTTGTGTGCGTTCGTTGGGGAGAAGGGCTTTTTTGCCTGATGTCTTGGTTTGGACGTTGGTCGACATGCTGTTGGTATGAACTTCTGGCTTGTTTTTGATGGAGAAGGGGGGAGAGATATAAAGGGTGTGGACTAGGTGTGTTATGTTTGTGTTGGGGGAAAGGAGTTTGTTTGCCCCTTGTCGGGGATGGGTGTTTGGTCGACACGCTGTTGGTATTTGGTGCTGACTTGTTTGGCAAGGGATGTTTCAATATCTTGTTTTTGATGAGAGAGAAGCAGGGAGAGAGACGAAGAAGACTTTTTAGGGGGAGGGGGGGGGGNGGGGGGGGGGGGGGGGGGGGGGGGTCCGTGGACCTCGCTCGGTCGGAATGAATGCGGGGCCGCAGCCACAGCAGGCTGTGGCGGTTTGTACTTGTGTGTGAGGTGCTGGTTGGCAATGGTGTTGGGCGCTGTTCGGTCACGTACGATGGCTGAGGTGTTGGCGGCATGCCTACCCGTGTACCTCGTGGGGGGCATGTCTGCTGGTGATGGCGAGCCCACCATGTTGCAGCACCAACGAGCGCCGTCGGCGACGACATCAACAACGAGAACATCCCTCACTAACATTAGGCGCTCGTTACGCCACCCCCCCCATCCTCTCACTCGAACCTGGTCGTGTGAACCCGGCGTGCTCCGTCCCGGCTTTTTAGGGGTGCGTGGTCAACGCCCTAACGACTACATCATTCACGGCTATGCGTACACCCCTCTCATTCACACCACCCCGAATCGAAGCCTCCCTTCGAATGCAACCCCCCCCCCCCCCCCC